GCACAGAGCCAGAACCGCCTGATCACAGTAATGTGTGGCCCCATCCAAAATCATCATCATCGTCATCGTCACCATCATGATCATCATCCTTGGGGCCAGAGAGATAGTATAGTGGGTAGGGTGCTTGCTTATATAAGGGCAGCCTGGGTTCAATCCCTGGCATCACATATGGTCCCCAAGCCCAATCAGGAGTCCTCTCTGAGCACAGAATCAAGATGGATACAAATGCTCCCACCCCCTGCCACCAAAATTCTGGGCTGGAGAGATAGTATAGTGGGTATGGCATTTGTCCTGCATGCAGCCATCCCAAATTCAATCCCCAGCATCACATGTAAGAACATTCTCCCATTCCTGAGTATAGAGAGGAGTAAGCATGTGGCCGAAAAACCAAAAATACTCTTCTGTTGGGCTAGGGTGGAATACAGTCATGATAGCCCTGGAATGGGAAAAACTTGTCAGAGTTCAAGGGAACCAAGAAGAGCGTATGTGGGGAGGAATGGCTAAGTGTATATGGTCAGAGTCCATATAATACAAAGAAGGTGTCAACACAGGGATCAATATAATCCTGGCAAGAAATATTGGGTGCGGAGTGAGAAGGAAGTCTTCTAATGAAAGCAGCCAGGTGTAGGGTGTCAGAGTTGAATGAAGATTACTAGGATACACACCAAACAAGGAAGCTGACTTAAGGAGTCAGCCAGAGCAAGTAGAAGGTGACCCTGCATTAGGGCATCCTTGGATGCTGTTAGATCCTGAGAGTGGTCAAGGGGTGAACTGTGGGAGAATAAAGATTCCAGTACAGTCAAGAGAGAAAAAGGTCATCCAGAGAAGAAATCATATGAGACTGATTAAAACAGGGAGGCTGAACAAATAATATGTTATAGGTAATGGGAGCCAGATTTCTCACTAACAAAAGAGAGTCTTACAACTATGAAAAGGGGGGAGGGGAAACTAATATTGTAGTATTAAACTGAAATCAAAGGTATGGTGTAAATTATATTTGTAACCATCTTGATTCTGTGCTCAGAGAGCACTCCTGATTGGGCTTGGGGACCATATGTGATGCCAGGGATTGAACCCAGATATATATATTTTTTCAATATATGAACAAATATGAATATGTATGCATATGTGTGTTCCCAAGCTCCCCCATAACCCACTCCTCAGGCTTCAAATGCCCCTCACAAGTCCAGGTTCCTAACAGTGTTTCTGACCAATTGGCTATTAACCAGACTTCGCAGGACACCTTCCACAGGTTCAATTAATTTACTGTTATCAGCACACAATTTGGCAAACCCATTTACTCACAGACCAACTATTTATTAAACAGAATATAATTACATGGAAGAGACACACAGGGTAAAGTGTGTGTGGAAACATGGAGGCACCTTTATCCCCTCTCCAGGTGCTTCATTCTTCATTCTCATAAGTAAAGTAAGTAAAGGCCCTCCCGTTGATCATCGATTTGCTCGAGCGGGCCCAGTAACATCTCCATTGGAGACTTTGTTGTTACTGTGTCTGGCATATCGAATACTCTCGGTAGCTTGCCGGGCTCTCCGAGAGGGGCGGAGGAATCGAACTCTGGTCGGCCATGTTGGCTGCGTGCAAGGCAAACGCCCTACCCACTGTGCTATCGCTCCAGCCCTATATATATATAAAATGTTCATCAAACAAAAATTTCTCTTCTCTCAGGTTTTAAATAAACATACAATCTATTGTCCAGACTGATTAATTCATTGGTCACTGGCTATTTATTCAACCTCTAGCCCTTTTAATCTCCCTAAAGAACTGAGCATAGGTCAGGAATCTCCAATCAATTCTCTACTCAAGGGCTGGTTCCCTTAGCAAACCGCACCCTCTCACAGTTTTTCCAATTTACTTTTTCTCCTCTCACAGTTTTCCAATTTACCCTTAATGTTACAAGAGACACTTTCCCCTCGATAGCTGTAGGAATTCCAGATGAAGACAAATATATATGAAAAGTAGATACTCTGCTCATCTGAATGACAAAATTGTATTTCTTATAAGTAGCAATAAACACACTATTGAGATATTAGCTTCTAAATATCATTCACGATTAAAAGTACCCAGAGCTCCCTACAGATAAGGTTGATTCTAGCACTAAGAGAAAGTACATGATAATCCTAGAATGTCTTCTTGTCCCAAAAATAAAGACAAGCACTAAGAATGATGGGGACATGTCATAAAGATATAGCAGTCAGCTTGAATGGGTTCTCAGAGGGCAAATGAGGGGCATTTGAGCAGCAAAATAAATAGTAACAGGATATAATTCTTACAAAAGAATTCATAAAGATGCAAATAACGACTATCTTGAAGTTTGATGAGGAATGATACATAGTTTCAAAGCACTCCTCACAAAACTATTAATATTTATTTTGCAATGAAAAAGCTGACAGGTGTTACTTACATCCTGCAAAGAAAAAATTCATTGTTGCCACTTGACAGGAAATAATAAACATCACTTCAAGATTCCTACTCCTGTACATAACCTATATGAATCTTATCACTAGACGAAAAAAATCCCAAATTTTTGACAGTATAGAGAAACACAATGATGGAACAACTAATGCCCAAAGACAATGGAAACAAAGAACATGAGAACGGGTCTTCAGTAGGAAACATGCCACCACTTAGGGGGACTGGGGAGATGACAGAGAAAGGGCAACAACTATGATGGAGGGAAGTGTGAGAGTTGAGGGGGAGTCGTGGTACTGAAAGGTAGTAAAGTGTTGTGCATGAAATCCTATCAGTAACAGTACTGTAAACCACAGTGCAAAAGTTTAAACAAAACAAACAAAACACCACCATTCCTAGCTGCAGACTTGAGGGTAGGAGGGTGGGAAATTGGTGGAGGAAGTCCACACCAATGAAGCTAGGTGTTGAAACATTGTATGCCTAAAACTGAATAACTTTGTGATTTCAAGGTGACTAAATAAGACAACATACAAAGTAACTGCCTCACTCTTTCCAAACACATCCCCAAAAGTGGAAAGATGACTAAAAAATCAACAAAAGATGAAGGAATCGTTCAGTAAAGCTGGAAGACTAAAGAGAAAAGACAAATATAAACCATGATTTTGACTTCCTTTGCCAGTAAAGTTTAAATGGCACAATCAACAAAACTAGAACCAGTCTGAGAACCAGATGGAAGGCAGTATCATTGTTGATTTCCTGGTTTTAGTGATTGTATTATTGTGAAGAGATTGCAGGCAGGAGAATGTCCTTGTTTACTTAAAATGCACACGAAAGCATTTTGGGGTGACAGGGCATCAGTTCAGCAGCTTCCTCTAAAATGGTCAGGGTGGAGGGAATTCTCAGTAGCATTCTTGCAAGTTTTCCGCAACAGTTTGTGCTCGTTTCAAAGCAATTTTAAGTGAGGGAGAAAACAATGTTGCAAAAGAGACCTTTAAAAACGAACTTGGTGGCACTTGAAGGGCGGGGAGAGAGAGCACGCCGAGCCTTAAGGTTTCTTATTGTTAACCTTAGTTAGAGACAACCAATCATCCAACATTTCTGGAAATAACAAAATTTTGACTCCAGAAGATATTTTAAATATGTTCCAATTCCTTCCCTTAATAGTTGACCTGAATCAGGTCGTGAGTGGTTAAAGATTAAACACTATAAATGATTCCACTAAAGGAAGTGATTAGAGGAGAAATAGTTAAAGGTGCCGTCCCCAACAGGAGGTAAAGTAAAGTAAAGTAAAGGCCCTCCCGTTGATCGTTGATTTGCTCGAGCGGGCCCAGTAACGTCTCCATTGGAGACTTTGTTGTTACTGTGTCTGGCATATCGAATAACAGGAGGTAGAACAGCGGTATCCAGATGTCACCAAGGTGGTGACATCAGCTCAACACAATCCCAGGGATCTCCTCCCAAACCTGAAGGGACTATTTAGCCAACAGCTAAAATTCCTTGCAAATCTGGGACCAGCATGACCCTGAAACTGATGTGCTTCCCCAGTTCAATTCATTGTCCCATGCTTAGCTATACAGTAATACAAATGACAACAAACAAGCATGCATAAACCCTGAATTGCCTCAAGCTGCAACTGCCCGACAAACTCGTGCAAGGTGCAATGCATCTGCTTCTTAGGAAAAAAATTGTGTGCGGAATGAAAAGCACAAGTGAAACAGATCAAGCAGGATCACCTTCCGTGTCTGCAGAAAGTCCTCATAAAAAATAAAAGAAAATCAAAGATAGCGTTCAGGGCCGAGGACATAGCTCAAGAGGCTGGCAGTGCAAGGTTCACTGGCGGGAGCCTTGAGTTCTAGCCCCAGGAGTGACCCCCAAACACCCAGTTGGGAGGAGCCCCGGGGCACCTCCCGACGTGACCAACAAGAAGACGAGGGGGAAATAGGGGGTTAGTGTTCAGAGTCCTACGGGGAAGACTGTCACATGAGTCCTGAAAGAACCCGAGCACTTCCTAGAAATGTTTCCAAGCGCAGGGAGCCTTTCCCCTTCCCCCCTCCCGGCACCACGCGTCCACTGGGGCGGTGAGCGACCCCCCGACAGCGCCGGGCGAGGGAACGCTGGCCTCCAGACACTTCCTTTTGGAGAGGACAGCCCCCTACGTCAGCGGCTACTCACTCCGCAGGCTGCGGGGCAGGAGTGTAGCCTCTAGGAACTTAGTACAGTCGGCTCCAGCCTTCCAAGCCCCGCGGTCCCGGCCCAACACGGCCGGCACCGGCGCCCCGGGTACCCCGCCCCCTCCCGGCGGGGCTCCCCTCCCCCCACGCACCCGCTCCCCTCCCCCTCCACTCGCGCGGGCCCCCCCGCCCATGCCCACCGCCAGGCTGAGCCGGGCCAAGAAGGCCGGGACGCCCCTCTCCTGGCCCGCAGCGGCCGCGGCCCGGCCCTCCCCGCCTCCCGGCGGCGATGCCCGGCCCCGCAGAGCCCACTGGACAGCGGCCGGGGCTGCGGGGGGAGAGGGAGGGGGCCGGGGGCGGGGAGGCCTGGGGGCGGCGCCCGCCCCACACCCTTACCTGGTTTCTCGTGGTCGTAGCCTACCACGATGAAGTAGTCGGCCAGCCTGGCCATGGCCGCCGCCGCCGCCGCGCCCGGGACGCGGGTGCCCGTCGCCGCCCTCGCCGCCACCGCCCACCCGGCCCGGGCGGGCTCAGCATTTTCCCTGCAGCAGCCGTAGCGGCAGCGGCGGCGCTTCAGCCATGTTTGACAACCGGGGCGCGCAGTGCGCCTGCGCCGCGCCGTGCGCCGGCTCCTACCCCGCCCCCACGCGCGCCGGCTCGGGGCTGCGCGCCCCCGCCGGCCGCCGGCCCGCCCGCCCGCGGGTGGGCCCGCACGCCACTCCACGCGCCTCGCTCGGAAGCCCGCCCTGCACCTCCTAGCCCACCAGCACCTCTTAGCCCCTCTTTATTTTTTTTTTATCTTCCTAAAGCAGGGAGATTTATTTTCCTTCCTGCTCCATCAATTTTTTTTTTTTTTGCACAAGGGAAGAAGAAACAGGGATGATTGGCGGGGGGGGGGGAGGCTGGAGGGGCGTCTCCTGGAAAGTTTAAAGTTTCCCCTCCCCCCTGGCCCCCCATCCCCCTTTTCTCCTCCGCGAGATTCTCCCGCCCTCCACTGGAAGCATGGAATTTGCACCGCCAGGGCTTTTGCTGCACGTTTCCTGTTTATGTTGTGCGGATGGGAATTTTAAGAACATGCCACCGAGCAGGCGGGGGAGGGAGCTTTTGCGCAATCCTGTGGGGAGCCTGGTGCTTCGGTGCTGGGTGGGCTGGGGGCGGTGAGCCTGGGGTTCCCCCGGAGCGCCGGGCTGGGCGGAGCGGAGGGTGGGGTGTCTGAATTCCACCGAAGAAAGCGGCATCCCCAGGATCTCCTGATATGGCCCAGTCCCAGAGTCCAAGGGTGGAGACTTTTCTCTCCCTGGGGAGTCCCTCCCCCCTAAACTTTCTCCAGTTGCCGCGGTCTAGGATTCTTGTAGCCGAGCAGGTGGTGACTTTCAACATCCATCCCTGCAGTGAAGGGAATCGATGAATCTCATCGTGCAATCTAGGAATCATCTAGGTTGCTCTCTTTTTTTTTTTTTCTGCCCTTCTAAGAGACGATTTCAGTATGGCTGAGGAGACACCCAGAGGAACTTGCTTTGTCTTTTGTTAGTATCTTAGGAAATTTAATTAGCAAAATGTTACAAGTTTTGTTACATATTAGCAAAATGTTACATGTGTTGCTTCAATCGTTTGCTACCAAATTGAAGTTTGTAGGTTTCTCCAGGGTTTGGAATGTGATCATCTTCATGGTTTCATATCATTGTCATTATTATTTGAGAATTTGGCTGTTGATCGTTTGCTTCTCAGAACTCTTACCTCTTAGAATGTGGTAGTGCTTAACAAATGTTTCTAGAGCGTGAATGTACAATTTTCCCCAATTAACAGCAGGAAGTTGTAAGGACTTGAACTCTGAAGAGTGAGTCCAGCATGTTGGTGTGATTGTTTCTGAAAGTTTATTCTAATCGATCCTTGATCGTTTGCCATATTTCTCTATCTACAGATTCAGAGCATTGGGCCACATACTACATCTACAATTCAGAGTATTAGAAAACTGAAACTTCCTCCCTTGAAAGAATGCCTGGACTCTAGGATTAATTTGCTAATTGCTGTGGTCAAGCTGATTTAGGTAGCTGCAAGGTTAAAAGAAAGATCAATCAGTGGGCACTGATGGAGGGATGGGTATTTGATCATTGTATAATCGAAACCCAAGCACAAAAAATTGTAAATCTACAACTGTACTTCATGGTGTTTCACTAATAAAAAGGAAAAAAAAAAGAAAGATCAATCATAAAAATAATTTTGAAAATCTTAAACCACACCTTGGAAAATTCAGCTCTACCTGCAGGAGACCTGGGCGTACTCTCTCGGGACAACAATATACTCTACAGAACCTGGAGTAGCCCACCCCAATGCAGCAACCTGGACACCTCCCTATGACCCCAAAACAGAGGGAAAAAGTCATGTTCTTAACATGTTTTCTACAGTTTAAGAACCCTATTGATACTTTGTTTTATGTCAGAGATGTCCTGTAACTGCCCCATTTGGGTCTCTGGAACACCTAGGGAAAAAAAAAGTTGTAAGATAGCCTTTCAAATTTTAAGACAGCTTTCCCCACTTTACTTTTTTTTTTAATTAAGGTGAAATTCAAATATGTGAAATTACTCATTTAAAGTCTATAGTTGAAATTTAGTTCTATAGTGAAATTTAGTACATTCACAATAATATGAAAATAACAACTAATTGAAAAGTTTGGGTGCCCTCCCAGGATGGGAGAAGCATGCTGAAAGTAGACTATAGACCAAACATTGTTGCCACTCAATGCCTCTTTTGCAAACCACAACACACAAAAGGAGAGAGAGAACAAAAGGGAATGCCCTGCCACAGAGGCAGGGTGGGCTGGGGGGGTTGGGGGGTGGGACGGATACTGGGGCCCGGGGTGGTGGAAAATGGGCACTGGTGGAGGGATGGGTACTTGATCATTGTATAACTGAAACCCAAGCACAAAAAATTTGTAAGTCTACAACTGTACCTCATGTTGTTTTACTAATAAAAATTAAAAAATAAAAAAATAGAATTGTGGCTGTGTGAAGGAAAATCAGAATGTAATAAGTGAATTTCTCTATTATATATAAAAACATTTTATATGTAACGGAATAGATACAAGTGACTTTGGATGCTTTTAAACAATAATATTACTTGTGATTATTGCGGCATCTGGTTGATGATTCATTAACTGTACTAATAGAAAAATGAACATAATTTCCTGATTTGAACTATAAATTATATTTAATGGTTAACAATGTAGTCATCATTTTTATATACATGGATCCTACTGTCACAAATAAAGCTTGTTATTTTTTTAATTCAGAAAAAAAAATTTGGGTGGGGACACCCCCCAAAAGTCCCCCTAAGATGCCAAGCCTTAGCAATCACTCCCACTTTCTCCTCCTTCAGCCCCTATTAACCACCATTTACTTTCTGTCTCTATAGATTTATCTATTGTGACATTGGGTGGAGGCACACCCAAAGGTTCTCAGGGCTTACTTCTGGATCTGTGCTCAGAGATCATTACTAATAGGCTCCTAGGATCATATCTGATGCCAGGGATAAACTCGGGGTTGACCACATGCAAAGTTACCCACTGCGCTATCTCTCTGGCCCCCTGTATATTTTATATAAATGCAAAATGAATGTAGTATTTTCTGCAGTTTTGAAATTCATCCACATTCTGCCAGGTATCAGCACTCTCCTTGGTTTTTAAGTATTTTGGGGTTTGTTTATTTATTGTTTGGGGGCCTGGAGTGATAGCACAGCGGGTAGGGCGTTCGCCTTACAAGCGGCCAACATGGCCGACCCGAGTTCGATTCCTCCGCCCCTCTCGGAGAGCCCGGCAAGCTACCGAGAGTATTCGATATGCCAGACACAGTAACAACAAAGTCTCCAATGGAGACGTTACTGGGCCCGCTCGAGCAAATCGACGATCAACGGGAGGGCCTTTACCTTTACCTTTACCTTTTATTGTTTGGGGGCCATACCCAGTGGTGGTCAGGATTTGCTTTTGGCTCTGTGCTCAGGGGTCACTGCTAGCAGTTCTCAGGGGACCATATGTGGTGCTGGGGATAGAACCTCTGTCAGCTGCATGCGAGACAAACACCTTACCCACTGAAATATCTTTCTGACCTCATATTTTGGTTTTTAAAAATGTTTTAGAACAGGGCTGAAGCGATAGCACAGTGGGTAGGGCATTTGCCTTGCATGCTGCCAACCCAGGTTCAATCCCTGGCAGACCATATGGTCCCCTGAAGCATGCCAGGAGTAATTCCTGAGAGCCAGGAGTAACCCCTGAACATCGCTGGGTATGACCCAAAAAAGAAAACAAAAAAGTTTAAGAATGTACAGAGCAGTAGTCAGGATACTCCCAGAGTACTCAGGAACCATATATGATGTCAGGAATCAAACCTGGATCTCCCACATACAAAGCATGTACTCTAGCATTTTGAGCCATCTCCCCAAACATTTCATTCATTTTTGTTTGAATAATATTCTATTGTATGTATATAATATATCATGACATTTAACATCAATGTTTTCTTTTATAAGTTTCATAGCCTTAGCTCTTCTGGGGTTGGAGAGCTAGTACAGCAGGTAAGTCTTGCCCTGAGTATCACTAAGTGTGACCCCCCCCACCCCACCCCACCCCGCTCCCTGCAAAATACAAAACAAGAAAGACATAGTTTTTGCTGTATACAGGCAATATAAGCATAGCCTTTACTCAATTGAGGCATTTGAGTAAATTTTTGTATATGGCATGAGATATGGGTCCCCTTTGCTTTTTAAATTCTATTTATTTATTTTGGGGGTAAGAAGTCGGAGTCATATATGGTGGGAATCAGTGGTTCAGGTGTCCCCAGGGGACACGTGGTTCAGTGCTCACTCCTGTCACTGCTCAGGGGACCAAGCATTGCCAGAGACCCAAAAATACGTTGGGCATTTGTATGCACTCTGCTCTTTGAACTATCTCCCTGGCCCCTCATTTTATTTTTTTTAATTTATTTATTTATTGAATCACTATGGGAAAAGTTACAAAGCTTTCAGGTTTAGGTCTCGGTCATGCAAATATCAAACACATTTCCCTTTACCAATACTTATTTTTCACCACGAAGAAACCCAATAACCCCCCCACCCACCCCCGCCCCTCCCAATGCCTGTGAGGCAGATGAATTCTAGTTAACATTCTATCTACTTTGACTAGATTCATTGTTTCAATAAAAGATGCGCCATTATTATTTAGAGTTTACACCCACAAATCAGACATGCTGAAAAAGCGTTGTGAAATGATTTGCTTTCTACAGCTGTGTTCAAGAATTAAATGATGTCGCGCGGCCGCAATAGCGGTTGCGCGGTTTTGGATTTCTGCTATTTTACTTATTAACTCTGGAAGTATTTCTATTAAAAGTTAGATGATTAAGAGATTGGTTTCTGTGCTCTGGAGTCGTGGCCGTGCCGGAGAGCCGCTCATGGGGGGCAACTGGTGACCTCGGTAGGGCGTGAAGGATGAGCCAGGAACAACCCTCTTCCCATGAGGTTTTAGTCGCCCCATCACCACCGGCTCATACCTGGCTTTCCACAAAGCTCCCAAACGGCTGCCATCTTTCTTTCCAGAGGGAA